ACACACACACACACACACACACACACACACACACACACACACACACATATCCCTTGTGCTGGTGCAAAATATTAAAGGAGTCAAAGGAACCTGCAGAAATCAAACTCTTGGCTCCCTCAACTTGACCTCTATCTTTATCTCAAGAAACTTTTGTCTTCCCTAGACACCTATCAAGTACAAGAGGGCAACTGTAGTCTCAACCTAAGAGGAAGCCTGCTGGCCCAGCAGAAAGGGGCCCTGCTCAGAGGAGCCTGGAGAGCATCCTCCTCCTTCTTTCCTCCTCCGCCTAACAGAAGGAAGCATTGGCCATCAGCTCCTTCATTCACACTCTCCCTTTATGAATCAACTTAAGAGGGAAAGCTCCCCCCATGATTTTTTTAAAAGTGCTCTTGAAAAAGTAGGGACTATATGGGCTAGGATCTGGGCCAGCTAGACCCTGGTCACAAAAAATTATAGTTAAGAATAGTCCTTACTTTAATAGAACATACAAGCTACTGGGGAGGACCACATAAGGGTGAGTAGGGGGAATGCCACAAATAAACAACATAATGAAAGGGGGAAGGGCCCTAAAAATAATAGGATTTGAAAAGTTTGTCCTAAGAGGTGTTACCAGAGATGAACCTTGATGGATACAAAGAACTGTAAGACTAGAAGCTGAGGAGGAGGAAACTTTCCAGGCACCAAGGACAGCTTGTTCAAAGATATGAAGGCAGGAACCATAATATTGCTGTTAGGGAATAGAAAGTAAGCCAGTTTATCTGGAACAGAGTGAAGGGAAGTAGGTGAAATGTCTGATTTTGAAGGACTTTAATTGCTAAGCTGAGGAGTTTGTATTGTATCCTAGAAAAATGGGAAGCCACTAAAGCTTCTTGAGTAAGAAAGTCAGATGTGCATTTAACGAAGCTTGTTTTGGCAGCTGTGATTGGACTGATTGGAAACAGGAGAGCCTGAGGGGAAGGGGATCAAGTAGGAGCTTCTGTAATATTTCAGGGGACAGGTTATGAAACCTCAAATGAGGATGGTGGCTCTGTGAGTGGTGATGGATGTGAGAGATGTTAGGGAAGCATAACAGAACAAAACACGATAAGTTATTGGATGAGGTCATGGGTTTATACAGAGCATGAAGTGGTGAGGAAAGGCCACAAACTTGAATGGCTGTGGCTGCAAAAGAAATAGGGAAGTTTAGAGTAGGGACAAGTTGGAGGAGAAGAAAATGAGCTCCATTTCAGACAAGTTGAATTTGAGATGCATCCTAGATATCCAGGTGGAAATGGACTTCAGGTAAGTTGATGATCTTTGGAACCTGAGTTTAGGAAAGAGATCAAGGCTAGTTATCTCAATTTGAGAGTACTCTGTAAAGAGAGTCTAATTGAGCCTATTGGATTTGGTGATGTCATCCAAAGAGAGGGTAGAAAGAGAAGAGGGTCCAGGATAAATTCAGGCTTATCTTGAACTGACTACTTATTAGATGATCTTTCCTCATCTGCAAAGCAAGGATAATAATGTTTGTACTAAATAATCAAAATGTTGTTGAGAAAATGCTTTGCAAACCTTGAAGCCTGTAGAAGCCTGAGGTATTAGCATCAATATTGCATTACCTCAGACTGAAGCGTGGGAATCTACAAGATTTCTACAAAATCATGAGAAAAGGTTCTTCATATCCACAAGCACTTGTGCTAGTGTGATTGTGACTAGTGGAAACCACCAATGAGACTTGTTTTTTTATAGCATAAATCAATATGGTGACATTGCCACCTAGCGGTGGTCCTGAGGAAGCACCAGGCAATTTGTTGGTTGCTGGAACCACCAATAAAATATTCAGAAAATCAGTGAGAATCAAAGGTCTTTCATCTAGATGTGACCTTTGAGATCATGTAATCCAACCCATTCAGATAAAGAAACTGGTGATCAAAGAAGGGAAATGTCTTGCCCAAGGTCTGAGAGTCAATGAATGGTAGGACAAGGACTTGAGCCCAAATATTTGGGCTCTCCCTTCATTTATTTGTCCACTATACCATACCACTTTTGTGTGAAGATTTTTTTCATTAATCACAGAGAATAGAATCTAGAGACTGTCATTTATGTTATTTTTGGTGAAACACAAGCATTCATAATTGCAATACCTGGTTGTTGTTCAGCTGTTTCAGTTGTATCTGACTCTTTGTGATTCCATCTGGGGTTTTCTTGGCAAAGTACTAGATTGCTTTGCCATTACCTTGTCCATCTCATTTTACAGATGAGGAAACTGAGGCAAATAGTGTTAAGTGACTGTGCCTAGAGTCACATAGCTAGCCAGTGTCTGAGGCTCGATTTGAATTCAGGAAGATGAGTCTTCCTGATTCCAAGCCCAGTGCTCTATCCACAGTGCCACCTAGTTGTCCATTGCGACACCTGTCTTTGCACAAAGGCCATCATGGTCAAAGGCCCTTCTCCTGATTTTTTTTCTATCTGTAGCACATAATGATAATAACAGCTAACATTTATATGTATGTGTGTGTGGTGTTCAAGAAGGATTAGAACCTCTGGTTTGCTGAGCCCTTTTTAGGGCTGCTCATCCACTTTTGGTTTCTAGCTTTTACCCAACTCTCACCTGTGGCTCCAAGAAGTTATAGCACGCACAGGTCACACCTGGTCTCAGCAGATGGTCAGCAGAGGGTTACTGACAGGCTTAAACCTCTGGTAAGTTAGGATGATGTCTACCACAAGCATGTGAAGACTTCCCCTGGCAGAATGGGCAGATGAGACCAATTTATCCCTACAGCCATTAAGATGACTGAAGCAGGTGCTGAGAATGCTGAGAGCTTAGTTAGACATCAAAGATGTCAAAGTCACCAATTGCATCCTGGGACATTGCCAGTTGTCTTCACTTTTGTCTTGCTACTTGACTTATGACTCTGGAAGAGAGAGTGAAGCTGATGACTTTGCACAATGCTGACTCACTTAAATCCATTCCATGCACAAGTCAAGACATCAACCATTATTCATTATGTTACCTTTTAACTATTTTGTTACTTTACTATCTTACAGTTTTACCTACCTTGAAGTCCTGTGGTGATGGGTGAGTGATGACTAAGCAGGTGTGGATACACTAGGAGCCATAGCCACAACTCTGTACCCAGGTGGCCCAGGAAATTGGGTTGTCTTTTCACTGGATGAAAGGGGTAATGAGATTTGGCAGCCCTAGAAGTGCTATTGCTGGGTCAAAGGGTATGCACATTCTTATAGCCCTTTGGGCATAGTTTCAAATTGCTCTCCAAAATGGTTGCAACAGTTCACAACTCCACCAACAATGCATTAGGATTCCAAATTTTCCCACATCTTCTCCAACATTTATCATTTTACTGTTTTATCATGTTGGCCAATCTGATAGGTGTGATGTATCTCAGAGTTGTTTTCATTTGCATTTCTCTAATCAATAGTGATTTACAGTACTTTTTCATATGGATGGCTTTAATTTTTTCATCTGAGAACTGCCTGTTCATATCCTTTGACCATTTATCAATTGGGGAATGACTTGTATTCTTATGATTTGTGAAATGTGCTCTAAGTTTAGAAAGCACCACATTATAATGGAAAGAGGGTTATATTTAGAGCAGGAGTTTAGTTAAGTAAAATCATCAAGAACTTATTAAACATCTAATATGTGCCATGTACCCTGCTAAAGGCTAGGGATACAGAAAAAAAGGAACTCTCAACTTAATGGAACATCTCCTGAACAGACAGATACAACAATGGAGAGGAGCAGTTA